CAATTAGTCATTTTGGCACTCAAAACACTTGACATATATCACATGTAAGCAACTTGGCCAAGCACACACTTACTCTATAACATCATTCTTAGACCAAGATATACATACTTATCACAAGATTCACACAAGTAATATCCAAATAATGTCATGTTCCTAAGTTGGCAATATTTAGTGACAGTATTCATTGTAAAACCAAAAAGGAGAAAGGGAAGAGCTATACTATAATGCTCTTCACTCTTCAACACTCCTTCTTTCCCCTTGCCCCTACCGAAGCCCTTACCTATAAAATATAACCATGGGGTAAGATAAACATCTTAGTAACCAATATAGTTCATCAAATGTTTATTATCACAAATAACTATGAAAAAGTATCAAAACTATAAAAATAACAAGCATACCATAATTATTAGATAAGTGTATTTCTTCTCAACAAAACACATAGTTTTATACTAGCATGATTATCTAACTACCGAACCTCTAATGCTCCTTGACATGAGACCATAGACTCTCTTGGTTCAACTACTTGTTGACCTAAGCACACTTTTGGTGGTAGAAATACCTAGCCAAAGGTAATCTAACCTATCTACAGACTATGGTTTTTTCCTCTTGACACACTTGTGATAGAGGTGTTGTTGACTCCTAACCGCACCCTAATGGATACTAGGGAGTTGCCAGACTGTCCGGATGTCCTATAGTAACAGTCCCATATAATGCTATACCGGATGTCCCATGGTGTCAGCCCGACCATATGAATTTTTCACCCACATATCTCCACACACATATATTCCTACATATCTCGAGTGAACTCCCACCCCTATGATCATGCTCTTTCACAATTTCATCACCTTTTGTCACATTCCCATATCATAATCTTATATACATCGTATATATATCAACTAAAATTGATAGCCTTTTACAAATCAATTTTTCATTCTAAAATCATTTATAATGTCACAGTATGCACAAAACTCTTCAAAACCATAACTTTTATGCAATCATTTATAATTACTTCTATACAGTTGTAATAGTTAATAAACACAATAAACTATATAATTACCTCAACCCTTTGTCACACAAAAAGGGTTACCGTGGCTCAACATTAGCTCCACATATTCTATATGCACAATATGGCTCGAGCAATGCTCAATCTACACCAATAAGTGTCAATCGTCAATTATCACTCTGGATAACTTTGAATTCTCTAGGTTCTAAGTGTTTAAAATACTCAAATTCCTTTTCTAACAACATCAACCATTCCCACACACTCTAACCATCCTATTACACATTCCAACACACTAAATTCACTAATCAATGTCCCACATTGTCTCAAAATCCTCAAATTATACATAGGGTTCGTCCAAACCCTTACAAAAAATTCTCAATTATCATAAAACTCATAAACTTAAGGTTAGAAGCTTGATTTAACTCCCTAAGATCTTAAATAAACTAATGGGTTTGACCTAAACCCAAGGGAATCGAAATCAAAGTCCCCATTACCTTAAATGTTTAGATTTTCACATGAAAAAGGGAGAAGAGGGAATGTACAACTTACTCAATGGTGATTCAAGCTCTAAATTCCCTCAAAGTAGCCTAGGGATTGTGCCCTAACAAACCATAAGCTTTTCTCCATTGCTCTCTTATTATCTCTCCTTTTCTCTTCTATTTTTTATCTGTTTTTCATGTCTGATAAGTGCAGATTTTGCATGTGCACCGCGGTGCGTCATCACGCTCACTGCGACACATGGCACAGAAAACTCCATAAAATTTTAAACTTCCTTCCGTGCTATGGCTCGCTTGAACCTCAACCTAGCACCTTTCTAAGGCTGTCCAAGGATCCAAAAACCATAGTAGTCTATATAAACCTCACCAAATAACAATTTATCTAAATTGACCAAATTACCCTTGAAAACATGGATGATTACTAATGAGGAAACTTAGGATGTTACAGGTTTCATGCATAATTTGAATGGTTATAAATTGTTGAATGTTAAGTTTTAGTGAATCTTAGCCCATGTGTAAAATTATGATGAAATGAATAATTCAAGCTAAGATTGAGTTGGGATGATGCTGTAAATGTGAAAGTAGTGAATGGAATGAATTTGTGGTGATATGTGGTGAGAAAAGGCCAAATGGGCTAAAATGGGTTAAGTGGTAAGATTTTGTGAAATGTGAAAAATGGGCTATTAAATGGCTAGATTTTGACATACGTGTATATATGCGATAAAATGTAGTCAATCAGGTGTATTAGATCTTTTTAGACTTGGTTCAAGGCCCTATGTAGCCTAATGAAACAAATAGATCGATTTGAGTGCTTGGGTTCATGAATTTTTTTTTTAAATTGACTTTTTGTACCAGGTGCCCAAATTTCGATCAAACTATTAAGTCATTTCCAAACTATCTCATTAGTTAGCTTATGAGATAAGCTTTATGTGGGTACTTGAATCACTCCGATTGGGTGTCGTATGCGAAAACGGCGCATGTTGGAAGTTCATCATTTTTATTGTCAACTGATAGCAGAAAATCTAGACTGGCTGTGGCGTAAGGCATCTCATGCCACAGTGCATGACATAGAAGGTCAAGTGTATGACTTTATGCCACATTCTGCAGTGCATGTATTGCATGCCACAATGCATGACATTGAATCATACTTTGTTTCTTTATTGTAAATGCATGCAATGAGTGTTATGGATGCAACCGTTTACTTTTCGTTGTGAATTACTCTAATATGTTATGAATGTAATGATTTTGTAAAATGAGTCTTGGGCCCAAACTTTTCAAATAAAGTTTTTGATTACTGATTGGTGTGATTGATGTAATAATTTAGTTAACCCTTCCTAATATTGAGTGAATATTGGGAAAGGTTATATGTTACTTTTGTATTGATTATTTAGGAAAATTACTACTTTTGATCTCTATACTTTTCTCGAGTTTTGTTATAAGTCTTTGCATTTTTTTTGTTTTAGGTCCCTATACTGTTTTCCATTAGCACAAATTGTGTTAAAATTGCTAACATATCCACTAACACTGTTAGGTTTGTGTTAATGTGTTAAGTGGATGTTGAGTTGGACTTTTTAAATATGAAAAATAACTTAAAAACTGCTACATCAGATAGAAAAAGGCTAACTAAAGTTTAAAAAATAAATCTCAACTTAAAATATCTATAAAATATCTCAACAAATATTTTTATCTTGATTTTTAAACTTTAAAACCCGCAATTTTTTTAAAAAATTTAAAAAATTGAGTCTTCTACGTTTTTTAATTGTATGTATCCAAAAATATGTTTTAAAATTTTTATAATATAAAAATAAATAATTTTAAAGTAAAAATTATTTTTTTATAAGTTTGAACTTATTCGAGCTAGCTTGAATAACCTAGTCCAACTAAATCACTGGCTCTAGTTGGAAGGACATCAAGTTGAGAGCTTCAGATTCTCCCATCGTCCTTTCCTTTTATCCCTTCAAGCTTTTAGTTTTAAGCCCAAATAAGCTTGAACTTAAAAAAAAATTCTAAATAGATAAGCCTAGCTTTGATACTCAAATTTTTATTTTAAAAAAATTCAATTTTTACTTTAAAATTAATTATTTTTATATTATATAAAATGTAAAATATATTTCTAGGATACTTAATAAATGTATAAGACTCAATTATTTAAAAAAATTTGCAAGTCTTAAAGTTTGAAAAAAAAAATCAATATTAAAAACATTTAGAATTTTTTTGAGATATTTTATGGATATTTTAAATTGAGAGTTCTTCTTTAAATCCAAGTTCGCCTTTTTCTTATCTGATATAGTTTTTTAATTTATTTTGCTTATTTAAAAAGTTTAGCTCAAAGCCTATTTAACATATCAGCACAAACTTAATTATTGGTGTTAGTGGACACATCAACAATTTTAATAGGGAAAATATCATTTAAGGACTACTAAGAAAATTTAATATCAAACAAGAACCAAATAATCTAAAATATCACTACAAGACCAAAAGGACTAATTTGGAAATAATTTTAAATAGAAAAAGGCTATAATACCCCTGTTTTTCTTTTACTTTACTAAAACTTGTAAATTATAGAATGGTTGCTTGTTAAATGCGAATGGGTACTTGCTAATTAATGTATGACTACTTGTTAACACATAATCTACACTTATCCCTTCATACAACCCATTTTCTTTAGCTTTTAGAACTTGTTAATTAGCAAATGACTTCTTGTTAAATGCAAATAGGTACTTGTTAATTACCAAATGGCTTCTTGTCAATTAAAAAGAAAGTCAGAGGTATTATAGTTTTTTCTAATCAAAAATTATTTTTAAATTAGTCCATAATCATACAGTGATATTTCAGAATCTTATAATTCTTAATTGATATTAAATACCCTCAATAGTCCTTGAATGATATTTTTTTATTTTAACATCGTTTGTGCTATGTCAATGTTCTTATATAGATGGAGAAAAGTACGAGAACTTGGAACATCAAAAAAGGTAGTAGAATCTATAACAAAACTCGAATAGAGTATAAGGATCAAAAGTAATGTGTTCTCAATTATTTAACTATAATATATGGAGATTAAACAAAAAGCAAGGATAATACTTATTATTTGGTTAATTATGTTTGTCTGGCAGGAAAAACACAAAATCCTTGAAAACGATGCCTGCGTAATTAACAAAATTTTTAAAATAGTACACCCGAGTCATTTTTTATTTTATAAAACCTTGCTCGACTCTAAGATTATTTTATCATTGTACATAGTTAATTACCCTGTAACTTTGCATGTTTTTTATTCATGATATCATGACAAGCATTGATATAGTAGCACGTTTGATTACAAATCCACGAACCCATCAGAAATTTATTTAAATTTTTTAGCAGTATGTTCAATATTCTTGCATAGAAGTTCTGAAATTTTGAATATACTCTCTTTTCTGTTTTGTGCAACAAGAGTACAGTCATCATTTCAAGCATAGAACAAGTGTCTTTTAACATGCAACTTTGGTGAGGGAGAACAGAAATAGGAATGGATAAAGCTCAGTTATATATATTCAATAAAAATACCATAACATACAATTGTGCAGGAGTATATATAACTCAAATCCACTAATTTCAAGCAGTTTATGAAGGGAAAAGAGGCACTAAAATTAACCAACTGAGTTCAGTAGTGCTTACTTTTTTTTTTCCCTTTTTCAAAGCCACACTATTTGAATTAATGTCAATATAATATATAAAACCTATAAGAAGCTATGTCGCATTTCGGTTCACATGTCTAACTTATAACTAATTGATATACACATCTTGTTTGCAGAAAAAGCTACAAACTTTTTTAGCTATTATGGTTGTAACAATAGTTTCACAACACAGATCAGAAGAACACCAGAAAGATCAGTTCTTGGAACTTGATGCTGGAGCTTGCTGCATTTGCTGATAACTTGCAGCCATCCGACTGTATGCATCCATGGTCATGGGCTGCAATCAATTAATCATGTGTGTTGATCAATAACATCATATGACAATGAAATGGTGAAAATAAGATCAGAAATTAATATATTTATACGTGTGCGTACACTATGGGTGTATGTTATATAAAGATGAGTTATTTTAAAGACATGTAGATAGCATTTGGATTGGTGAATTTGAATTGCATTTTAATATAAAATCTTTGAATTTCAAATCTCATGTTTGAAATTCATAAATTTAAAATCCTTTATTTGAATAGTTTAAAAAACTTCAAATGAGTAAAAGAGATGATGAAGTTTTGAGATTTGAAAAAAAAAAAAAAAGGAAGTGATGAGTTTATCTCTATTTATCAATCAATGGAAGAAATGATAATGAGGATAATAAAAGATATGAGAGTTATAGAGGCATCAATAGTTGTGAAAATATGAAAAGAAGAAAAGATTTGAAGTTATTGAAATTTTAAATGATTAGAGTATGGAAGGAATTTGAAATTATAAAAAAATAAAATAAAAATAAATTTGGTTCAAATTCAAATTCAAATCCTCATTTATCCAAATACATAATGAAATGATTTCAATGTTGTTTAGGTATAAACTAGACATTGGACACACAGTATAAAACTTAAGCCATAAATTCTTCCTAATAATTTGTGTAGTTGAGATTTCAGACCAATTACAGTACTAGAAACAAATTGAAATTCTCACTCGACCCAAATCATTCTATGCACATAGTTCAATAAGAGAATCTGACTTCCATATAACCCAAGTTTCCATAAAGTCATGCAAACGAAAAAATCAAAACTCGTTCATGCGAAGTTAAAGTCATTCCTGCTATTGATCTGCACATAAAATTATAGAATATAGTACACAATACCATTTTCAGACCTGTGTTTGGCATGCCAGGAATTGGGACAAGAAGTCAGGCACCGCTCCTTGAAGTCGATTGCCGCCAGTGGAAGCGTCCCATGATGGCATCGGCATGAAACTGGCAGTGGCGGTAGGGTGGAGAATCGGAGGGACGGCGGGCATGTTAGGGCGAGCCATAGTGTTTATGTCCATACCTAATCCCATTCCCATTGCAGTCATCATGGACATGAGTTGAAGTTGTTGCTGTTGCAGAGTCATTGGCAGCATCATGGAAGACAGACTCATTCTATTAATCATTTGCACTTGTGCTTGAAGTTGCTTCACGTAGTCTATCACCTCATCCAGCATTGAAGCTTTATCAGTCTGAAAAATTAAAAAGCATATGTTGAAGAAACAAAAATTGTAAGCTTTATGTCCATTAAGCTCCAAAAGTTCAGTTAAACTACACTAATTAATTATAAGCAATCTGATCTGAATTATTATTACGTTATTAAATTATGCTAATTAAACTGTGCAAGTAGATAACCATCGAGAGAGATTGACTTTTGGCTTTCTTTTTTCCTAGCAATGTTGAAAATTATACACCTTTTATTAAAAAATATAAATTATTTTTAATCATCACCCTTTAATAAAGCAATTGATTGTTTTTAAATTAACACCATCTTTCCTTATTTATTTTTATTTAATAAGATGTTTTACTTTAAAATAAATTTAAAGTGATTTATTCATTATAAATGCTTTGAAAAAAGCATAATAATTACACCTTAAAATATTAAAAATACTTTATATTTTTTAATATTCAACATCTTAAAAAATGTAAGAATGGAAGGAGTAATTATGAATGACATATAAATTATAGTTTTAACACAAGAGAACCTCAAATAATATTATTTCTAACCAGAAGAAGACATTTATAATAAATTTGGGAAAATAAACAGTAGCGTAAGAGAAAATGATCCATGATTTAATTTTAAGAATTATGGCAACTTATTTTCTATCGTATTTGAAAAGAATTTTTGGGAGAATCATCTAGCATCGGATACATGTGTACTCTTAAGTAACTCAAGTCTAAGTTGTATGCCTGAAATGAGAGAAAACGTTTTGACAGGGGATCTTAGTTATCACTTGACACGTTTTTTGCTAATATTTCTTCAATAAAAAATTTAATTCGTAAAGTTCTTAACTGTTGATATTATGCGAATGATGGGTCGATAAATTGATGCCATTTTTTATTTCTCTCTATCACCCCCCCCCCCAAAAAAATGATAATATAAAAAAAATTGTTGGCTAAAGTTGAATGGCCATCGAGAGGGGATTAAATAAGGGCCTACCACAGGAAAGTGTTGTCCCCTAAACATCTGTCAAAAATGTGACAAGTCATAATTAGTATGATAGGAAATTTGTGTGGACTGGGATTTGCACAACCTCTCTCTCTCTCTCTCTCTATATATATATATATATAATACATTTTATAAATTATTGCGATTTGATTGGCAATACACTTTGGACCACATTCATCCATTGCTCTCTGAGACCCTTTATCTGAGCATTTATTCTTTTTACAGTGTAAAATTGGACAATTTGAAGTATAGGAAGTTATCAAAATGATCAAAACAAAGAATTTCTACATAGACTTTATGAAGAAAAGTGCAAGAGAAAGCATCGAACAAAGTCGTACTTTTGTTTTGTAGGATCACATGATTGCACGCATTACCTGCTTAAACATTTATCTTTATTTTAGTTAATTAACAATAACAAGAATTTGTGTGTGTTTGCATGGGGTATTCTCCTTCCTATTCTTAACCTGAGATGAAGTTTGATTTTTTTTTTTTGGTCCATTTTTACCCCTAATTATTTATTGTTATTTAAATTCCTAAATAAATTTTTTATGATCATTATTTATAAAGAAAGGTAAAATTAAAAAGTTATATATATTTTTTCAACTTAAAGGTTATAATTAAGATTTTTTGACAAGTGTGAAGTTTGTTATTTGGAAACTCTTGTAGTGTTTTTACAATTTAAAGGTTATCTGTATAAGAAGAAGAAAACTGATACGTAACGGAGCATTACCTTGCTGGAATTTGGAACCAGCTTCTGCAATGTCTTCATCCTTTGGTTTATCTTGTCTCTCCTTTTCTGAAATAACAAGCATGTGTATGAATCAATGAAACAATAAGTTAAATAAATTTTAATTTTCATTAAATAATAATGGTTAATTAATTATCTATTTGAACCAATTTAAACGAGATCTCACTCTTTCAGACTGATTGTGCACATCAGCAGCTCTACGCCGTTTATTAGACGATGAAGATTTTACCGTTCTTTCTTTTTTGTCCTCATCCTCATCTTCTTCTCTCTATAATAAAGATTAATTAATAGAATATATTAAAAAACGAAAAAATTAATTAATAAACTTAATTAGACCAATAATAGAAAACAACAATGTAAATGAATATATATATATTTATATATTTAACGAAGAAACATTGCCTGTGTACTGTGGCAAACAGAATCATGGTCATCAGCGACGGTCATCTTCGTGTAAAGCCTGACCGAGCTTGCGTTTTCCGGCGAACCCATCGAAGCAGAAGTATAACCCACATCCAATTCCCTGTCGCCGGCGTCCGGTGTCACGTGATGGCTGTCTCTCTCACTTAAACTTTGATCCCACTGGCGGGCTACAGGAGCAGGTGCCACCCCAGTAGGCCTCACAGCAGTGCCGCCGCCGCCGTCTCCGCCTCGAGAACACACATGTGCTGAGCGAACCATTCCAGTGCCGCGCGTGCCAATCCCTCCATCAATAGATTCATCCACAACTGCTGTACTCTGCTCGTCCGTACGAATCGAGCAAGGAACCAAGGCATCCATAGGCATGGTGTTCGATACAGCAGCGCCACCGCCGCCTCGTTGAGGTTCATACCATGGCACTAACTTGTCTTCGTCACCGCCCCCTCCGCCGCAGTCTTCGTCAAGAGTTTGCGACATGGTTTTGGAGTTCAGGGTGAAACGTGTTGCCTGATTGACTATGGACTCCAAGGTGCCACTTGCTCGAAACTTTGAATGGGAGGTCAAGGGATCGGACCTTGTACTTGCCACCACGCAGGCGTTGATGGACTTCGCCGGAAGCCGTGGCAGACCCATCCCGTTCATCCATATCTGCCCGTTCTGCCATGTAAGTTCTGCAACTTCATAGTCAAACCTGCAACGAATATACCAGAAACACTATATATAAGCAGCTAGGCAGTATAACAGACTCACAGAACCACAATATATATATATATATAGATAGAGAAAGAGAGATTCAGTACGTGGGGAGGAGATCAGGGACGGTGGAATTGGAGTTAGAAGGAAGAGAGGTTCTGGTGGCTGAGGGAATATTGTTGTCAACATCCCAGGTGGGAACGCAGAAGCTCATGTTCGAAGTTGGAGATCTGTTTGAGAGAGTGAAGTTTTTCTGTGTGATCGATGTGTATTTGAGAACTGTTGAAGAAGAAATTAAAGCTAAGAGAACTGTGGGAAGTGAGGTGAGAGAGGATGAAATTGTGCGAAGCTAATGTGTTTGATAAAGGAGATGCATGGATGGTAGTTTTGTTGAGAGACTTACGGATTCTATTTCATGAGAGAGGGAAGAGAAAAAATCTAGTCCACATGAAAAAACATTAAGAGGTTTCCGTTTATTTCTTTTTTTATGAAATATCACATACACTTGATATGCTTGGGCTTCACTATCACTAAACAATTATTGACTTTGTTGTCGGGTTGAGGAGGATGCAATATGATGGGAAGATCATAAAAAAAAAAAAAACGTAAAACTTGGCGATTATAAATGGCCAGGTTCAATGGAATCTAAGTTCTCTAATAATATGTTGAATTAGTCTCGATTGATTGGAAGGATTTCTGTATAAAAGGAATGAAAATGAAAGGAAAAAACGAGGATAAAGTCACATTAATGCTTCGTACATAAAGTAGTTTTATTTCATAAGTAATATGTTTAGTTTAATAAATTAATGTGGTTTTTCTCTCCAAGTGAAATTCTTAGAGTCTCTCCAGTCGGCAAATCTAGACTGTTCCTTGTGGATCTAGCACCAGAGAGCTTTCCCTTTACAGTGTCCTTTTATTAGAAGCAATTTTGTTTGAGCATGATTGAGTATTGAATGTGAGAACTTCTCCCAACAAGATTTAAACCACTCTCACTCTACCCCTATCTTCTTCCTCTTCATTCCTAAAGTGCACAGTACTAAGGATTTCCCAAATATGTCAATTGTATAGAAAACTCAACGATTTCTGCAATTTTCCACCAACATAAAAAAATAACAAAACTCCACATCACTTGATGACAAATTGATTATGTTGTCCTTATTTGATTTTAGCAAGGGAATGACCCATATTAAAAAACACACGTCACTACAAAAGTTAATGAATAAGGCTCATCTACACGAATAGAGGCCCAATTAATGCTTTAATTAGCTTCTGAATGTGTTCTGAGCTTCCTCTGATACAACTATAGTTCGAACTTCAATAATAGTGGCATGAGCTTGCTCAATTAGTTTGGTTGTTTCTTTTTGGTACATATAGCCAGTTCAATAAATTGATTTCTAAGAACTTGTTGGAAATTTATGTTTGTGAGATCACAACAATTATTGATAGATTTTGGAGGAGGAAACTTACTTGAGTTGATATACCAAATGCAACACATTGTGCAGGAATAGAGTTACGAGACTGAACTTGGTTCTTAGTTCTCACAACAAATATGTAACATCCTAAATTTTTAAATCCAATTAATTAAGCTTAATGTTGGTAATTAGTGAATTGATGAGGTGTGTGGCCAAAGGGGTATAATAAGTGTATTTGATCTTGATTTCAGCCCTAAATGCAAGTTTGAAGTGAAGTAGAGCCATCTGAGCAAGGGAAGAAGAGGAAAATTTGAAGAAAAGTCCTCTATGTCATATGCCATGGCATGTGTAATGTAATATCCTCTAATATATTCAGACAATATAAGAGAAGATTACAGTGTTACTACTATCTCTTATCATTCTTCATAATAAATTTCATTTTTAAAAGCTTTGGGTGAAAACTTATTTTATAAAATTGATCAGTTCACAACACAATTAGAGAAAAACATAGTGGAAATAAATCATGCACTCCTCAAATATATAGTGGACATAACCCACATCAACATTCCTATTTCAATTACATGCAATTCGGCACACAAAATAGAACTAAATTTTGGTCCGTGCGTCACGGCGAACGATCAGTGTGCCACAGCATTTGGCACAGAGCCACACCCTTGCCCTATCTGTGTCGTGTGTCACAGCATGTGACACACCATGCACTGCGGTGTACTTTTCCAGATTTCTGTTGTCATTATGATAGCAAAAATGACGAACTTTTGACATGTGCCAATTTCTCATATGACATCCGATCAGAGTGATTCAAGCGTCCATATGAAGCTTAACTTGTATACTAACTAATGAAATAAGTTTGGATATGATTTAATAGTCTAATCAAATTTTGGACACCCGAGTGTAAAAAGTCACTTTTTTTGAAAATTTTGTGCATCCAAGCACTCAAATCAATCCCTTTCTCTCATTAGACCACACTAGGCCTTGAACCAAGTCCAAAAGGATCTAATACACCTGATTGACCATAATTAATTACAATCATGCTCATATATCAAAATTTAACCCTTCTAAGGTCAATTTTCACAATTTACTAACTTAACATACTATACCATTTCTTGGCATAACTTAGCCTACTTGGCTATTTCTCAACTCATACATATGCAATCATATTCACAATACAATCTTAGGCCTTAAATTACTCATTTCACCATAATTTTCCCTTAGCTTAAGATTCATCAACACATACAACCAATTCATCATAAGCATACTTAAATCAAAGCCCTTTTTTGTCTTAAACAACACATATACACATAATCGGGCTTGATTTCACAGAAACTTTGTTCAATGTATGTATGCAACCCTATGGAAACTCATATACACTTATATATACAATCTTTTTAATTCAGTTCATTACACAACCTCAAAGTGCATGGCTTCACAACTCAAGCCGGTCCTAACTCTCTCCCCTTAGCCTATTCACTTTCTGATCCTGTAAACATGTAACCCTAGGGGTGAGATAAAAATCTCAATAATAGAGTAACTCACTCCTATTGACTATCACATACAACAATATGAAAGTAACTATAGTATATCATTAAAACCTTATAAGGTAGTATTTTCATCACATATCACATTTTATTTTTCATCTTTTCATCAATCCCAAAGGATTCCATGTTATCTCAAGATATTTCATCATATCACATAAAATACTAGCATGATCTCTACCAACCAAACCTTCAAATCACCTCTACACAAAACCATAGGCTCATCTCAGACTAATACACACTCTTATTAGTCTTGAGCTCACCTACAGTGGTAAAATTACCCAGCCAGAGATGTTCTAATGCACAATACGAACTATGGTTTTCCCCTAATACACACAATAGGGCGTCGTTGACTCCAACCTATATCACAAAGATACTAAGGAGTCTCTCATCTCCAACACAGTACCTAAACAGGCACTCAGGAGATCTTCTCCAACACCGTACATTTCAAGGCACTAAGGAGAATTGTTTCCAACACCACACCTTAACAAGGTACTAAGGAAACCTTACCATATGATCTTTATCATCTCCTATACTTAGTTGAACTCTAACCACTCAGATCATGCTCTCTCAAACCATTTAAGGTTCCCTTTCCATAATTTAACACTTTCTTATACAATATATGATGTTTTTCATCACAAAATACATTTCCATGCTTATTTCAATCAAAAGATGTTTCACACACAATAATCACTCAATGTTATAAAGCATGCTCAATTCGAAACCATTTCATGCATTATATAGCATACTAACATACAATAACAATAAACAGTTAAATAAAGAAAGTTATTTGGTTACCTTAACCCTTCTGTCACTAGAAACGTTACCTGTGAGTTTCAACTATCGCACAAGCTTATCACAAGCTTCCTTTCTCTACTCACATATCCAATATGCCAATCTAAACACATTTGGCATATTTTAGTCAATTAGTTCATTTTGACCAAAAACTCATTTTTACTACTTAGGGCTATATTCATCTGTAAACTCTTTTCCATTTATCCATTCTAAGTCTATAACTGCCTAGTTACTACTTTTCATTACCTCGATTGGTCTTATTTTACTCAAGATAGATTTTTGTCCTAACTTTCTCTCTCTAAAGGCCAAAATTGAGCCTCTAGGTTCAATGCTCTACCATTCAGCTTTAAACCAGTTATAAAGCTCTAATTTAACTTATGAGAACATTTTTATTACTATTAGACAAGAATCAAACCCCTCAAATTCCACCGATTCAATTTCCCTATAACTCATTTTCAGAGAAATTTGTGTAGAATGGAAGATAAGAGTTATAAGTAGCTTACCTAGTAAGTTACTGATTCGAATCACCTTTCACCACTCCAAAATGGCTTAACCTAGCTCCTTAGCCCTTCTCTTCTCTACGTCTTGTGTGTTTTTCAAAATCTCTCCTCTAAAATTTTTAAAATTTCATGACTTATGAAGTGAATTTTTAGTCCATGCACTGCGGCGCATGGCATAGTGAGATTTATTCTCACCATGTGCATTTGCTTCAACCCGAAATGCTCTCCTATTACCCATATCTGTCCATACAACACACAAACAAGTCAAAATATTAATTTATTATCTGAATCTCTAATCCCACTTTAATTTCCTCTTCACCCTTGATCAACCTCTAAACTTAAGATTAATAAATTCAGGATGTTACATGTGTGGTCTATTACAGTGCACAAAGGCATATTTATTAGGAAAGGCCTCTTGATACTGTGCGCTGCTACTGAGGGTTGCATACGCCATGACATATGGCTAAAATTCTACTTTATCTAGTTTGAATCTATGTGCAAAATTAGAGGAGAAGAAGGTAAAAAAAGAAGGACACAAAATTAAATTTTCTCTATTAGGGCACATACATTAGGACTATTGGTGATACTTTGTGTAACCCCACCAAATATCCACATGACATTAGAAGGGGTTAATCTAATCACCACATACATACCCAATTGAAATCAAATAAAATTTTGTTTGAAAAGCTTGGGACCTAAGGCTTCGTTTTACAAATCATTACAACCCTTAACACATCAAAGCAAAGAATAGCGAAACATAAACACATGCATTCATCACACCTATGTCATGGATTAAAATTAAGGAGACAATGCCAGAAATTAGGTCATCCACTATGGCATGCACCACATGCACCATGGCATTTGGTACAGAGCCACGAGTTACCGTTTTTGTCTCATTCACCATAGCATATAAGACAAAAATTCTTGCTGTCATATGACAGTTTGTAGAGTGAACTTCCGACATGTGCCATTTCTACCTACAACATCTAATCGGAGTGATACAAATGCCTAAATGAAGCTTATTTTATAAGGTAACTAATGAGAAAGGTTAGACATGAACTAATGACTCAATCAAAATTTGAACACTTGATTGCAAAAAGCTACATTTTTTAGAAATTAGGTGCACCTAGGTGTTCAAATTAACCAATTTGTCTCATTAGACTACTCTATTGGATCATGT